GGTTGAACGACCCTTTCACAGGGGTCACCGAAGACCATTGGAAAACACCTATTCCCGATGGTCTTAGGAACCGAGACACCGCTCCTCTATGCGTCTCCAGGCGGGTCCACCCACGTGCAGGTGGACTCATACGCCCACATATGAGTACCCGGCATGAAGACTGTTACCCATGCTATAACATGCTTCAGGGCAAATTTCATTTATTAGTAATTAGAAATAGATATTTCACAGTATATAATTACATATTGTTTTGATTAATCACTATGCTTTAATTGTGTTTAATTTGTAACAATGAAAATACATCCTGCATATCAGATATTTACATTACGATTCATAACAGTAGCCAGATTAGTTATGAAGTAGCAACAAAAATAATTTTCTGGTTGGGGGTTACCACATGAGGAACTGTATTAAAGGGTCACAGCACTAGGAAGGTTGAGAACCACTGCCTTAGAGCGTTACCCCTTTGCTTGTCTAAGCATTAAAAAAAAAAAACTTTTATTGGGGGCTCTTACATCTCTTACCACTCTTCTAAGCATTCTATGTAGTTTGTACATTTAGGTCCTTAATCCACCTTGAATTTACTTTTGTGTATAACTGATTTTCAAAATGTTGAACCTTAGCCGTCTTTGTGGAATATAAGCACACTTGGTCAATATACTGTTGGATTGTTTGCTAGTATTTCTTTTAAGAGTTTTGCATCTCTATTCATAAGAGAATATAGTTTGCAGTTAGGCGTCTGTCTGGTTTGGGTATTAGGGTTTCTTGCTTCACAGTTAGAGGGTATTCCTTCCAGAGTTTAAATAAAATTGGTAATGGGCTATTGTGTTTTTAAAATACCAAATAATATACACCCACCCCCAATAAAACACACACACACAAACCTTTCTTTAGTGACGCAACCTATGCGGAGACTCTGCAAATGGATTTTGGGTTTCCACTGTCAGCCACCAGCTTCTCCAAACCAGGTGTTCACAACTTAAGCTCTGATACCATTCCCTTCTTTGGATTTGGGCTTTATTTACAATCCTTTAATCACACAGGCAGGTGTGCTTCCTCCATGTGGATTTAGCTGATGCCTCATTTAGATGGCTGCTTGTTTTAAGACAAGCCTTTAATTTAAAATTTAATCATTCAATCATATTAATATTTGTGTAATCACTACAGTCAATATCAGAACATTTTCTCATACTACTCTTTCTGATAGTCAGGCACCATCTGGTTTCTTCATCTTTTGCTATAGCTCATATCTTCGGTGATCTCTTCATGAGGGCGAGCATCAAGAAGGGCCATGTCCTAAGAACGAATTGTTCTCAAATTGGCACTAAAATTAAATGCGAACCCCAAATCCATCCATATTATCTATGGTTTACACGTTCATTTTAGAGACATTATCATTTTATGATACAGAACATTACAAATCATCCCCCTGGGGGAATAAGGTAATAGTGTCATTAATTTAGCCAATGGTATAGAATTTTAAAAACACTTGAAAAAAGGAAATTATACAAGGATAGGTTGGCTTCACTGCAATACATGAATTTTGACTTACACAGAGAGAACTTTTAAATGACTGAATATATAAATAATCTTACTATCTTATGAGCATTGCGAAGTGGATTCATGCAGATGTAGTTAGGTTAAAACGTAATATTCTACCATTTGATCTCTTTTTTGACCCATCTTAAAGTTGTTTCAGCTTTTAATATATCTCTTCTTTTTGAGGATTTTGTTTTGTTTAGTCATTGCTGCTGGTTTTCATGATTTTCTATATTTTAGATCCAGGCTAGATAGATCTATAGACAGTAAGTATCTGGACAGGGGCAAGGCAGGGGAGGATGTGGAGATGGGGAGCTAACAACGAGTATGAGAAAATGTGCTGAAATTGACTGTGTGATTACACAAATATTAATATGATTGAGTGACTGAATTTTATGATGTGAAGTATATGCCGATAAAATTATTAAAAAACCCAAACTACTCTGTGGCAACAGAATTCCGCGCAGAGGTTTTTCTCAGACCCTTATCGTTGCTCTTTCACGGCCTCCAAGATGAACTGCTCTGGAGTCATCTGAAAGTCCTACGCGACACATCTGAAAACTGTAAATGAATAAATGCTGGATCAGTTCAAAATATCAAAGATATGCAGTATATTCAACGATATAATTAATCAGAAGGCGGGTTCTGCACAGGCAGTGAATTATTTAATGTGGCTCCTCCAGCTGGTCTAACTCCCACCAATCTTTCCCTGCATGGGGCTGGTAAGCTGGGGAAGATACTGATAGGATCCACCTGAGTAAGTACAAATAGATTCTCCGGGGTGCTGTAAATAACATGAGCGCGCTGAGCAGCAGGAAGAGGGATTGCTTTACCAGCAAGAGCCAGCAGTGGAGCGTGTCCTCTGGTCCCGAGATCTCTGTGCATGGACTTGTGGATCCAGGGCATAGCTAGATCACAAGGGCAGCAGCCAAGAGCTAAGAGCATGGAACTGAGTGAAGGACTTCCCAGCCCACTGAGTAAGTAAAGCTTAGTGCTTTTGTGCAGGAAGCTGGCTTGCAGAGTCTCTGGTCTGGGCACTTAATTCGGGAAGTTAGACTTTCTGACCCATGCAAGTAGAGCGGAGTGCCTTTGAGCTGAGGTTTACTGGAGTGAGGTGCCTCTGGGCACTGAATTCTGGGAGCTGAGTTTACGGAACCACAGAGTTTAAGCTGAATATCTTCTCTTGAGCCTGAGAGCAAAGTGGTTTGCCCTTTGGGCATTTATTAGCAGGCTTGACAGAACTTTGTCACATGTCCTGATAAACAACCCTGAGCATTTCTCACCGGCATTAAAACATACCTTACCTTACCCTTCAATCCCAAATTTTGTCGGAGTTCTGCGTAGCCACTGCAACAGACATTAGAAACTAGACAGGTAAAATAAAAACAAAAAGCACGAAGCTAATCCTGACTCGTAGTGACCCTATCAGACAGGGTAGACCTGTCCTGTGTTTCTGAGACTCTTTACACAGAGCAGAAAGCCCACCTGTCTCCCTTAAAGCAGATGATGGTTTCAAACTGCTGACCTTGTGGTTAGCTGCCCAATACATAACTGGTGGGCATAGAGATGGCACGTGTTCCCGAGCGGGTTTTGATGACCAGTGACTCCAGGGCAAGTCAGAACTGCCTGGGAGCTTCCAGAGCGGTTTCTCTTTATGGCAGGTTACCGGACGGCTGGAGAGTCTGAAGCACCAACCTTTAGGGTAACGGTCAGTCCTTTGACCGCTGCATCACTACTACTCACAAAACGAATTCCTTGAAGAGCTTGTCACCCTCTGGAACTGCCACAGAACGAGGCTCCGTAGCAGCTAACTGCATCACATTTGGTAGTTCTTTCATATGCTTGAGAAATGTCCGTTCCCCCCAGGAAGAACCTGTCGGGGTCCTTAAGGACCATCTTCTTCCCTCACCCCGCCAGACCTGGCCGTTTGGAAGAGCCATGAGCTCCCCCTGCCTGTAGTTCCGTCCAGGGCCAGGATGCCACATCCGGGGACTGCCTCTACTCACTTTCATTTCACCACGGACGGCAACTGTCAACCCTGAATGAAGCTCTTCTTGGTTCAACTCTTGTGGACATTAAATTCAAATTCTAGTGAGGATGTGGGCAGATCTGCCTGAAAATACTGCTCAGGACAATGCCTTTCAGAGAGTGTATGCCACAGGCGCTGGCTCAAAGCATGCTTATGCTCACTAGCACTCAGGGCCCTGAGTTGAAGGCCAACTCGCAGTCAGGCACGAAGAGACAGGACACACACATGAGCATGCTGAAGTGCACGTTGTGATTTAGGCCATCTAAGTTGCTAAGTAAGCTAGTGATGGCCACTGTCCACATCTTCTTTTATAATCTGACGCACTTCAGGTGTGACTATCCCCATATCCACGAGCACTGCGGAGTCCACAGGTCAGTGCAGGCTTCCTTTCCAAACCACATTCCAACTCACAGCGACCTACAGATTCCAAGGCTGTACATCTTGACAGGAGCAGACAGCTGCACCTTTCTCCCTCAGAGCAGCAGTGGGTTTGAGCTGTCAACTTTATGGTGAACAGTTCAAGGCTTACCTGAAGCCCCCCACAGGCCCCAACACAACCCAAACTCACTGCTGAGCCCACGCAGACTCACAGCGACCCCACAGCAGAGGGCAGAAATGCCCTGTGACTCTCTGAGACCACAACTGCTTATTTAGACCTGCTAGGACAGAGGAGAACTGTCTGCCTCTGCGGGCAGTTTCCAAGACTGCAAATCTTTAGAGAAGCAGAAAGTCCCGTCTTTCTCCTGCAGGTTTAATGCTGTGGACCTAGTGGACCGAAGTCCAGCACATAACCACCGGGGCACCAGGGCTCCTTAACCCGTCCTTAAGGAGACTCCAAGTACAGCTACCGCCCAGGATTAAGCAGGAGAGAGATGTGGGTTTCTACTCCTGTGGAGATCGACAGTCTCAGACACCCACAGAGGCGGCTTGACTCTGTCCTAGAGGGTTGCTGAGCCAGACTCACTTAAGGGCAGTGAGCATGTTAAATTAAACAAAACCAGTCAAATTCTCAGGGGCCTTTTGCAGCTGAATTTAAGTTTAAAGAGGAAAATTTTTTATGTTCTTGTTTAAACAAATAAGAAAACGGAAATATAAGCTACTACACTAAGATTTCTAACATTGCCCATTCAGAAATGCTTTATAAGAACCAATGTTAAGATAAAATACCATACTATTAATGAGAAATCTTGGCACCAATGTTTCAAGGAAGTTATATTTCAATATTTTCAAGTCATAAGGCTAATACAGTTCAATAAACCACCCTATTTCAAAAAATGTCAAGATTGTCAAAGACATATTAAAAATTTTAAGCTCTTTTCTTCCTAGAAATGTAAAGAGGAAGGAAGAAGCACAAAAGACAGAGTAACAGAGAAAATCACTAACACTCCATGGAAACTTCTTCTAGGATCTCTGCTACAATCGATTCAATCATTAAGTGTACTTCTGACAGACTTCTGTTTTTAGCACAAACTTTATCTGATTTTTAAAGTATAACATGCACTATCTACTCATCCAAATTCTCAGTGGCCAAGACGGTAACAAGCACTAGGAAACAAAACGTCTTTAGCAACACAGTGAAGGTAGGCACAACTTCATATATATTGCTTTGCCTGTAGGAAATTCAGAACCTCAAGAGAGGTTGACGTTTATTAGCTGTTTTCCTCAACTTTGGTTAAATGTGGCCACATTAAAGCACTTGCATAGTCTATTATCACAGAGCAGAGCGGTATGGTGGTGGATTTACTTTTTCCTCACTCCAGGCTGGGTCTGAAGCAAAGCTCTCTCTAAGTAAGATGGACACTCGTACATGTATGTCCGAAAAATAACATTCTAAATTTTACAGAGCATCTGGGTTTACACTAACAACCAGATTAAAAATAAGGAGAACCCATGCAATTACATATGTCCTTGATGCAAACGAGTGATGGTCACATCGTGGTGTTCAAGAAATACTATTACAAAATACAGTAAATTATTATACATGTTTTTCTGTCTAACAAGCTTCTTTTGAATTCTTCAGTTAACAGACACACTTAGGACCAAAAAAAAATTACTAAGAAAATTCTTCCACTATAAACTCAGCTTGTAACGTATCAGTTCTTTCTGGAATCTTAAACATTTGAGTGCCACTGAAAGCATTATCTTCTGTTTCTTCTTAGAGAACCAATGTTCATAAAAGGATCGTCGTCGTCATCCTGAAATGACATCGAAGGTTCTGTTAGTGATCAATCCACAGTTCCTTAGGACAAGAGCCACATGCTTAGGGGTAAAACAACACTTAACAGTCGTTTTCTCTTTCTGCTGGGACTGGAGACCCACATCCATGTTTATTCCCTTTGTAAATGCGGGTCGCCTGTCAGTGTGTTACCCTTTCTGCTCTTTCCCCCTCACAGCCGTTTCAGCACTGAAGCAAGTGGGTCCCAGTAAATGCTTGGGGAGCATTGACACACAAGCTCAGGGCAGGGAAGAAGGACAGTATAACTATGCTGCATAACCCACCACGGTGGACACACGGCGACCACAACCGCAGGACTGCCCTGCACGGGGGTGAGT